TGACATAAACGTACAGTTTACAGCCAACGGCAAGCTGCAATTGACCGATTGTGCTAAATAAACTGACTTTCTGCTTCACAACCACTATTGTACGTTCAAAGAGTTAAATCCGGTTTTATTTTTGGGGTGCTTATTGAATTTAAAGAGTATGTCAGACAACACGCAGAGGAGTGGCAGAGGAGGCAATGTTTCAGGAGCGAGCAGACGTGGCAGCAGAGGAAGGGGTCGAGGCAGCACTAGTCGCAGCCAGAGGCCAGTGCTCCCGGTGTCATCCAGCGGTCCCTGTGTCTCCACCGACAACCCTGCCGTCATCGATTGGTTGACTCGGTCGTCTTCCTCTTCCCAGGTCACCTCTGACACCTACAGCCAACGGTCGGTGGGTACGTCAGACACAACCGTTAGTTGGCATGGCCCGGGAGCAAGCCCACTGAAATCACGTGTCCTCGACCTGCCCCTGTCCTTTGGTGTTCCCTCACCAAGCGAAGTATCGCATGCTGTGGGCTCAGCCCCCACTGTACAGTGAGGAAGAGCTAACAGAGGGCGGTCAGGAACGGGGGGAGACATCCGCCTCTTCAGCAGCCAGGCGAAGAAGTACTGGCGAGGAGAGTGGCTCGGTAGCCGGTCTAGAGACAGGTCTGTCTCCTGACCCACACGCAGCCGAGGGGGCTAGTAGTGACGCGGAGACCCTAATTGATGATGATGAGGCTGATCGCACTTGGCAGCCTCGTCGTCATCAGGCTATTGCTTCCGCATCATCAGGAGAAGAGGGTGCCAGCTTGCCAGCGAGCAAAACAGTCGGTGGGTTGCCCAGGAGGCAGCAGGGTCGCAGCAGTGTCAGTGGAGCCAAAACGGCCACGGAGTAGAGAGCACCAGCTCCACTGCAGCCTACCACCACGGCCAGTAGTGGTTGCCGGTGTGCACGGAGGAAAGTAGCAGTCAGCCAGTGAGGAGTAGCGGGGGCAAAGTTTCCTACTCGGCGGTGTGGGCAATTTTTCGTCAAGCCGCCCGAGGAAGTAAACGTAGCCGTATGTCGACTATGTGGCCCAGAAAAGTCAAGCGTGGCCAGGGGGGCCAATGTTGGGACTACAGCGTTGCGTCAGCATATGCAGCGTCGCCATTCGGTGGCCTGGGAAAACCGTGATAAAGATACGGCGGTTCTGCCTGCCCCAGCCCCCGCTCCATCACCCGCTCCGTTACTTGCTCCGTCACACCCGACGTCAATCGCCCTCTATCAGCCAGTCAAGGCTCCAACACCTCTGCTGAGGGGAGTTGTCGCTCGTTGGCATCTTCCGCTCGTTCAGATGCTCCTTCTTCTCCTGCTACTCCTCTTCACGGATTCCGTCAGCAGTCTTTCTTGGAATCCGTTTCCAAGAGACAACAGTTTTGCGAGCACGCACCCGACGGTGCAGAAGCTGAACGTCCTCCTGTCCAAGTTGCTGGTGCTGCAGTCCCCCTCCCTTTCCAAGTGGTGGACTCAGCACCTTTCCGAGAAATGATGGCTTGTGCCGAGCCGCGGTGGAGAGTGCCAAGCCGGCATTTCTTCGCCAAAAAGGCAGTGCCAGCCCTGCATTCACATGTAGAAGAGATGGTGGGCCAGTCTTGAGCATGTCGGTCTCTGCCAAAGTGCACGGCAGCGCCGACGTGTGGAGCTGTAACTACGGTCAGGGACAGTACATGTCATTTACGGCCCACTGGGTGAACGTGGTGCCGGCACAGCCGCACCAGCAACTTGGACAGGTCACGCCGCTTTTTGCCTCCACGTTTGCACGTCCTTGGTCCAGCAAAAATGTCCGCCTCTACCACCTCTTCTTCCGCCGTGTCCTCAGCCGCCACCCCCTAGCCACCCCGTGCCAAGTCCCATTACCCGACCGGCATATCACATGTGCAGGGCGCAACGGTGTCACGCTGTGCTGCACCTGGTATGCCTTGGCGAACGTAGTCACACAGGGGAGGAACTTCTGAGTGTAATGAACAGAGAAATCGACAGATGGCTGTCTCCGCGCAAACTGAAAAAATCGGAACCATGTTGACCGACAACGGAAAGAACATGGTGTCTGCTCTGCGTCAAGGAAGGTTGTGCCATGCGCCATGCATGGCTCACGTGTTCAATCTGGTTGTCAAGCGGTTCCTAAAATCCACCATCCCACTGCAAGACATCCTTAAAATGTCACGTAAACTTTGCATGCATTTCAGCCATTCCTACACCGCAAAGCACACCCTCCTTGAGCTGCAGCGGCAGAACGGAATTCCACAGCATCGCCTGATCTGCGACGTTGCAACAAGGTGGAATTCAACCCTACATATGTTTAGACCGCCTTTACGAACAGCGAAAGGCCATCACCGATTTCCTGATGTTACAAGCGGATAAAGGTACTCCCCTGTGTAACTTAGATGTCAGCCATTGGCAGCTCATGCGTGACACCTGCCGCTTGCTCAGGCCCTTTGAGGAGGCCACGCTATTCGTGAGTCGGCAGGACTATGGGATGAACGACGTCATTCCTCTGTTGCACGTCCTGGAACAAATGCTGTTAACAATGGCTGGTCAGGGTGCGGTAGACGTGGCGCACAGATCTCAACGCCACATGACCCCTGTGGGGGCAGGACAGGAAGAAGAGGAGGAGGAGGTAGAGGAGGACATTGGTGCTCAGGAATTATTGAGTGAAATGGGTGGTTTTTCCACTCAGCGGACAGGAGTGAGTGGAGAGCAGGAGCATCTGGTAGAGGAGGAGGAGGAGACAGAGGACCCAGACGCACCGTGGCAGTATGCTGTGGAGATGGAGGCAGGGAGTCCCTCGCATTCCTTGGCACAAATGGCCCATAGCATGCTCGGTTTGCTTGCGTAGCGACAGCCGAATAATAACCATCAGACAGAGGGATGACTTTTGGCTGTCCACCTTGTTGGACCCTCGCTAACCGTTCAAAAATGGTGGTGGCCTTTTTCACACCTGCTGAGAGGAGGCCAAAATAAAGTACTATAAAAACCACCTATGTTAGTCAGTTGGTCTCTGCCTTTCTGCGCCAACGTCCATCCTCAGACACTGTGGGCCCTGTGCGCTCGCGTTCCGCTGCCATGGCAGCAGGGGAGGGGTGGGGTGGTAGGAGCAGTGGCGGCAGCTCCACCAGCAGCGGCTGCTCCTCAGTCTGCAGTCGATGATGAGTAGCTTTCTTTCACCAGCGCAGTGAGGAAACTACTAACCAGCCGCAGCAGCAGCAGCATCAGGTGGACCTGGAGCAGGACCTCAAACAACAGGCTTGGGCCTACTTGGACAGCACCCTGCCAACCGAGGTAGACAATCCCCTTTGACTACTGGGCAACGAAACTTGACCTTTGGCCCCAACTAGCTGAATTTGCCCTTGAAAGGCTGTCATGCCCGGCCAGTAGCGTGGCATCGGAGCGCGTGTTTAGTGTGGCAGGAGGTATTGTAACTCCGCGGAGGACACGACTGTCCACCCAAAGTGTGGAGAGACTCACGTTTGTGAAAATGAATCAGGCGTGGATTAGTCTGGATTTCAAACCACCAGTTCCTGACACAACTGACTAAATCCGCCATGAATCATGCCCCAAACATGTTATTAGGGACAAATGGAAGACCTCCACCTGATCCGTACATTTGTATATATATTTTATTGAGAGGGCTGCTGGTCGGACCGACTCATGTTTTGCACATTTTTAATGACTTATACTCTGCAGGTCGGGCCCCTCATGAATTGGGGTTTTTAAATTATTTATACTTCGCTGGACGACCGTCACATGAATTGAACCTTTTTAATGACTTATACTCTGCTGGTCGGGCCCCTCATGAATTGGTGTTTTTAAATTATTTATACGTCGCTGGACGACTGTCACATGAATTTAAACTTTTAATTAATTATTTATAGTCGACCAGTTCCAGACCGATGGAATAGCAATTTTTTTAAATATTTATTTGACACGTGTTGTCCATCTCATCAATGAGGTGGACTGTTTATTTATTGGCCACGGTTTGGCCCCCTCCTGTTTCTCTTACATTGTTAACTTGTTGTATCGGTCACGGTTTGGCCACATGTTTGGTTGTCTTGTTAAGATTTTCTGTAATGTACACAGTTACGCTTGACTTGTCGACTTTCCACAATCTACTAAGGTATAGCATCGCATCAAAGTTTTTTTTTTTGGTCTAAACCATTTCTTATAATGTCAATTTGTAGGATACGCCGCTGTAAGGCGACCTACTTTTTTGTCACTGTGTAGACATCTATTTATAGGCCGATGTTTGGCCAGAAAGATATATTTAGTAATAACCTAGCCGTTCAAGCCGCTCACTGAACACCTCGGGAATTGCTTTTGTATATCTGTCGCCTTAGGGGCCGCTGTCTGGCGACATAATTTTTTGTCACTGTGTAGACATCTATTTATAGGCCGATGTTTGGCCACAAAAATATATTTAGTAATAACCTAGCCGTTCAGGCCGCTCCCTGAACACCTCGGGAATTGCTTTGTATATCTGTCGCCTTAGAGGCCGCTGTCTGAACAGCTCATGAATTGCTTTCTATATGTGTCGCCTTTGAGGCCGCTGGCTGGACAGCTGATGAATTGATTTGTATATATGTACTTATTGTCCGCTGTCCGGACAGCTGGCACAGCTCATGAATTACTTTTTGTATATAGCCTTCCAAACCACTCTCAGAATAAGTCATGATATTCATGCTGTGTATAGCCTTATAGGCCAATGGTCAATCAAGTCATGATTGTTATAGTGTGTATAGCCTTATAGGCCGCTGTCTTTACAACTTTATAATTCCATGCAGTATATAGCCCTATCGGCCACTTTCTGGCATCCAGTTGCTGTAGCCCCCATCACCACACTGTGCCACGGGCCCCTGTACCGCCTTCTCATACTGCTGCCAGATCCATCCTCTGCCATGTGTGTCTTTGTCGTCTGCTCACGCTGCTGGGTTCCAGATTTAAACCTAGGCCTGTGTATGGCTTCCGAATACTGCTGCCTCCACCGCCACCCTGCGCCATGTGCCTCTGTCGTCTGCTCACGCTGCTGACGGCTTCCGCTTTTTAACCTAGGCCTGTGTATGGCTTCCGAATACTGCTGCCTCCACCGCCACCCTGCGCCATGTGCCTCTGTCGTCTGCTCACGCTGCTGACGGCTTCCGCTTTTTAACTAGTCCTGTGTATGTCTTCCGAATACTGCTGCCTCCACCGCCACCCTGCGCCATGTGCCACTTTCGGGTCTCCTCACACTGCTGCCAGGTCCATACTGATTCATGGCCCCCTGTACCGGCTCCTCATGAACGTGGTTCAGCAGGTTTGCATCACTTAACGGCAAATCGTTGACAAATGCTGGGACGTTCAGTGTTGTGCGCATTAAGCCAGACACCAAAGGGCAGCACAGACCTGTTATTACTCGCTCAAGCATGGCTGAACAAAACCAGTCTCTACCACAAATTGGACCCAGACCTGCCCAGGGTCTCGTAACTAGATTGCACGGAGGAGTAGAGTCCGTTATCGGAATTAAATAGACAAAACGCCACACCAAAAAGAGTGGCCATTTCCAACACTTATTCCAGAAAGAGGAACAACCCGTTTCATATACGGCCCGTAGACGTTTCACGTCTGCCACATTCAGTCGATTTAAGACGCAAGCTCCACTTCCTGTGGTCTCTGACCGTCGATATACCTTTAAGTGTCAGCTTTGAAGCTATATTCCCTCCGGAGCACTGACACTGGTGCCCCTTCCGTCAACATGCCTTTAAGTTTCAGTTTTCAACCATATTCCCCACAGAAGCCAAACTCTTGGGTATCCCAGAAGCTGCTCAGCGGGTCAGGGCAATAAAGCTCCCGGTTCGCAGGTTGTTCCGTCTTATGGATGGAAGTACGACGGTATATGATGATCTTCTTCGCACCCACGTCATTACCTCATAAAATTTCTGCATTGCATCTGCAATCACAACGCTGACTTCCCGGATCGCCACTCAGCCATTGGACTCTTGATAGTCGTCGTCCTCCCCACACTGCTGCTGGGGGGACTTTTTAACCTAGGCCTGTGTATGGCCTTCAATTGAAGCTGCTTCCGCTCCGCCACTCTGCTTGGGACTCTTGATAGTCGTCTCCCCACACTGCTGCTGGGGGGGACTTTTTAACATGGGTTCCAGGCCTCTGTATGGCCTTCAATTTAAGCTGCTTACGCTTCGCCACTCTGCCATGGGCCCCTGTACCGCCTCCTCTTGCTGCTGCCAGGTCCAGAGTGTGTCATGGGTCCCTGTACGGCCTCCCATTGCTGCTGACTTCATCGCCAGACTCTGCCATGTGCCACTTTCAGGTCTCCTTACACTGTTGGTGGGTTCCATTTTGTGATAGGGTGCTGTATGGCCTTCCATTGCTGCTGCCTCCACCGCCACCCTGCGCCATGTGCCTCTGTCGTCTGCTCACGCTGCTGACGGCTTCCGCTTTTTAACCGAGGCCTGTGTTTGGCTTCCGAATACTGCTGCATCCACCGCCACCCTGCGCCATGTGTCTCTGTCGTCTGCTCACGCTACTGACGGCTTCCGCTTTTTTAACCTAGGCCTGTGTATGGCTTCGGAATAATGCTGCCTACACCACCACCCTGCGCCATGTGTCTCTGTCGTCTGCTCACGCTGCTGACGGCTTCCGCTTTTTAACCTAGGCCTGTGTATGGCTTCAGAATAATGCTGCCTACACCGCCACCCTGCGCCATGTGCCTCTGTCGTCTGCTCATGCTGCTGCCAGGTCCATACTGATTCATGGCCCCCTGTACCGGCTCCTCATGAACGTGGTTCAGCGGGTTTGCATCACTTAACGGCAAATCGTTGACAAACGCTGGGACGTTCAGTGTTGTGCGCATTAAGCCAGACACCAAAGGGCAGCACAGACCTGTTATTACTCACTCAAGCATGGCTGAACAAAACCAGTCTCTACCACAAATTGGACCCAGACCTGCCCAGGGTCTCGTAAGTAGATTGCACGGAGGAGTAGAGTTCGTTATTGGAATTAACTGTGAGGGACTTTTAAACCTAGGCCTGTGTATGGCCTTCAATTGAAGCTGCTTCTGCTCCGCCACTCTGCCATTGGACTCTTGATAGTCGTCTCCCCACGCTGCTGCTGGGGGGGACTTTTTAACATAGGCCTCTGTATGGCCTTCAATTTTAGCTGCTTACGCTCCGCCACTCTGCCATGGGCCCCTGTACCGCCTCCTCATGCTGCTGCCAGGCCCGTAATCTGCCATGGGCCCCCGTACCGACTCCTCATGCTGCTGCCAGGCCCGTAATCTGTCATGGGCCCCTGTACCGCCTCCTCATGCTGCTGCCAGGTCCAGAGTGTGTCATGGGTCCCTGTACGGCCTCCCATTGCTGCTGTCTCCATCGCCACACTCTGCCATGTGCCACTTTCAGGTCTCCTCACACTGCTGTTGGGTTCCATTTTGTCATAGGGTGCTGTATGGCCTCCCATTGCTGCTGCCTCCACCGCCACACTGTGGCTCCACACTCTGGTTTTGGCCCCGTGACTGCCCAAATGAGTGAAGTGTGCGGTGATTCTAAGATCGACGGCACTCATCTGCATGTCATACTGACTGACAGTATTATTTCTCTTCCCCAGCAGACTCCAAGGGCATTTAAATTAAAGGTACAGTGTTCTACACTAATATAAAGGCTCTCTGAAGCCTAGAAACACCCTTTTTATAAGTTAAATTCGCAGCGAATATATTCGGCTCGAAGCAAATTTATTCCGCGAATTCGGCGAATCAGCCGAACCGAATTTTTGAATAATTCGCTCATCTCTACCTATTATGTGTGATGTAATTGTCCCTTTCATACATGTGTGCTCTCCACACACTGTATGCATTTGTATTTGTGTGTAACTAGGGACAGGGGCTTTAAAAAACTTTTTCTGGGTGTTTTTTAATTTATTTGATTACTCTTAAAATGTTTAAACTCTGCTTATTTTTTTTACTCACCTTCATTGCTATTACATAAGACTGATAATTTCCCTATGTGACAGTGATAGTGCATGTTACAGGTTTTCTTTAAGGAGATGTCAGGAGTCTATTAGACCCCTAATATTACCTCTGCTCTATGTTGAAGCTGATGGAGCACACAATGCTTTTTCAGCTTCTACCCTGCCCAGATAAGCCAGGGACTAACAGCTCTGAACCCAGAAGTGCTCAGAGATGATCGCTTTCAGGTTCATTCTTCAAAGGGGAGATCAGTGAATGGATGTTTACTAATCCCCCCCCCCCCCACTTTCCATCCTGGCACCTGACATGGAAGTCCCAAACACCCAGGAGGAACAGGTAAGCCAGGACAAATTAAGGGGTGATCAAGTAGGGGGGCTTGAAAGTGATCTAGAAACTTTACAGAGCTTGAATCACTTCTAGTAAGTCAGCCAGGAGTTAAACGTAAGCAAACTCCTGGCTGCTATAACAGTTGGGAGTCTGTTTAAATGCCAGTGATGCTGTTGACATGAGAGTTACTTCAACAGCAGCAAAAGTGTTAAATCTGAGGTTATGTTTATAGCCAAGGATATTATCACTGGGTCTCTGTGCTTCTCTATGCAATGCAGGCAGAAAAATTATTTATGAGAGGGGCTGACAGGGTGCTGTACATAGCTTCCTGAAACCTTCACAGCACTCTGCCATAATACGTCTCTCAAGAGCCCTCAGTTCTGATGCAAGCAGTAGGCTGGCTCTTGGGAGGAGTTATTCAAATATTAAAATGCCTTGATGGGTGGATGTCAGTCTAGAGTAGTCAGCATTCCTAAGCAGACTGTATTTGCATGTAAAACACCCTAGGTCACAGGTGTCAAACACAAGGCCCGCGGGCTGAATTTGGCCCAGGCCATTTCATGTGGCCCCTACAACTCTTCTGCAGCTACGGTACCCCCCCCCCCCCCCATCTCTGCCTCTACCATGTCTCAGCAGTTGGCAGCAGAGAGGAGGACAGTACTCCTCTGCCAGATCCTGCATCTTTCTGCAGCTGTAGCACCCCCTCATCCACTGGTCTCAGCATTCAGCAGACTCTGGTAACTGGCTCCACTTCTCCTCTGGTCCTCTTCCAGACCCTTCACTTTCTGCTTCCCAGCTCTGCCCCCAAAGGGTCTGTATGGTGATGTTTGGGAGGGTGGGGATTCTTGACATCTGATACAGTGAGGAACAGAAGTAGTTGAACACCCTGTGATTTTGCAAGTTCTCCCACTTAGAAATCATGGAGGGGTCTGAAATTCACATTGTAGGTGCATTCCCACTCTGAGAGACAGAATTTAAAAAATAAATTCAGGAAATCACATTGTATGATTTTGAAAGAATTTATTTGTCTTGCACTGCTGAACATAAGTATTTGAACACCTAAGAAACAGCAAGAATTCTGGCTCTCAAAGACCTGTTACTGTGCCTTTAAAAAGTCCACCTCTACTCCACTCATTAATCTAACATAGTAGCTTCTGTCTGAGCTCTTTAAAGACACCTGTCCACCCCACAGTCAGTCAGACCCCAACTACTACCATGGGCAAGACCAAAGAGCTGTCAAAAGACACCAAAGAAAAAATTGTGGACCTCCACAAAGCTGGAAAGGGCTACGGCAATTGCCAAGCAGCTTGGTGAAAATAGATCAACTGTTGGAGCAATTGTTAGAAAATGGAAGAGGCTAAAGATGACTGTCAGTCTCCCTTGGACTGGGGCTCCATGCAAGATCTCACCTCGTGGGGTATCACGGATGATAAGAAAGGTGAGGAATCAGCCCAGAACTACAAGGGAGGAGCTGGTCAATGACATGAAGAAAGCTGGGACCACAGTTTCAAAGGTCACTGTCGGTAGAACACTACGCCGTCATGGTTTCAAATCATGCATTGCACGGAAGGTTCCCCTGCTCAAGTTATCACATGTCCAGGCCCGTCTGAAGTTTGCCAATGACCATCTGGATGATCCAGAGGAAGCATGGGAGAAAGTCATGTGGTCAGATGAGACCAAAGTAGAACTTTTTGATCTAAACTTCACTCGTCGTGTTTGGAGGAAAAAGAAGGATGAGTTGCATCTCAAGAACACCATCCCTACTGTGAAGCATGGGGGAGGTAACATTATGCTTTGGGGGTGGTTTCCTGCGAAGGGGACAGGACGACTGCACTGTATTAAGGAGAGGATGAATGGAGCCATTTATTGTGAGATTTTGAGCAACAACCTCCTTCCCTCAGTCAGAGCATTGAAGATGGGTCGTGGCTGGGTCTTCCAACATGACAATGACCCGAAGCACACAGCGAGGATAACCAAGGAGTGGCTCCGTAAGAAGCATATCAAGGTTCTGGAGTGGCCTAGCCAGTGTCCAGACCTAAATCCAATAGAACATCTTTGGAGGGAGCTGAAACTCCGTGTTACTCAGCAACAGCCCCGAAACCTGACAGATCTAGAGGAGATCTGTGTGGAGGAGTGGGCCAAAATCCCTGTTGCAGTGTGTGCAAACCTGGTCAAGAACTACAGGAAGCGTTTGACCTCTGTAATTGCAAACAAAGGCTTCTGTACCAAATATTAACACTGATTTTCTCAGGTGTTCAAATACTTATGTTCAGCAGTGCAAGAAAAATAAATTCTTTAAAAATCATACAATGTGATTTCCTGAATTTTTTTTTTAAATTCTGTCTCTCAGAGTGGGAATGCACCTACAATGTAAATTTCAGACCCCTCCATGATTTCTAAGTGGGAGAACTTGCAAAATCGCAGGGTGTTCAAATACTTCTGTTCCTCACTGTATATAGGGGGTGGGGTGCTATAGTCTTACAGATACAGCCAGCCCTTTGAGGGCACCCATAATGCTGATCCGGCCGCAATGAAATGGAGTTTGACACCCCTGCCCTAGGTCATACTTACATATGATGCTGAGCCTTCATAATTAAAAGAATTGAAATCCAAAGAATAAAAAGGGCAGACCAAGGACAATAAGTCTAGGGAAGATAAGATTAGATGACCCCAGATGTCCTCAGCCAGAAAATGAGGTAGACTCTATCTGACTTGTAATATCTAATGCACACTGTGTGAAGCTTGCAGAATGCAGTGAAATCAAAGTAAGCAATTTCAGTATGGTAGAAGGGGCTGCGCAGCTGTGCTGGAGTTCAGCTCTGATTGTAAACTTGACAAGAGAAAACAAAAAGGGAAATTTCTGCATTTTTGCCTAATACTATATTTAAAAGCCTATCTTGCCTAACCTGTACTAAAAAATATGTATACTTTCTTGTTTTTAGCCCACTCTGGGCCGGTCACATTATCCTCTGTATTAACGCATGGATTACTACACATGTTACCACAATGCAATGCGTAGAAATACAATAAAGTGCATACCCTGTTTTTTGACAGTGAACAGCACT